TCGGTGATCTGCTGGGAACCGTGTCTTAACGATCAGTCCTCTGCGGGACGCCAGAAGATGAATGAATTCATTTGTGGTGACAAATATGAGAACAACAAATTTTCCTGTTAACAAATTTTTTCATACTCTATTCACTTAATAATAGAATCGTCGAATAGATGTAGTAAGTAATCTTATTTGATTTATTACTTACCAAGAATGCCTTGAACTTGAAAGGTAATAACATAGTGAAATAAACAATATAATTTATGCTGACATTAAACTTATATACAACATTTAATAACATTTCATTTTTATTCTAAGCAGAGCGCGATGACAAGGACCTGAATTAAATATTGAAATATATTTAATATGAATTTAATATAATATGAATTAAATATTATGAATAATATTTATGAATTAACATTTATTATATTACACTGGCACTAATTTAAAATATATTTTCCAGAAATCAATTGTAATAAAAAAAAATTATCCAGCAATTTTTTGTTTTGCGGACCATTTGGCGCCCCTTTGTAAGTAGCGCCCGGGGCATGATGCCCCCCCTCGCTACGCCACTGATTCTCATTACAAGCCATGTAAGCCTTCGAGTAGCGAGATGGATTATCATTCAGGTTTAAATTTTCAAGTTGGTATATTGTTGACTAGGTAAGAAGTGTTTTATTACAATTCTTTTCTTCAAATGATGATTTTTACGACATGAAATGACAAGGCTTCAAATGACAATTCTTATAGAGATTCTTTCATAAACCCAAATAATAACCAGGTAACAAATATACGTATACATGATATACTTACTACTCAAGAGAGTCTCAAATCGCTGCGATCACGTTGTGGGCCAAATGGTTTCAAATTACACCGGAAACAGTAACCCGGAAGTATAGGCGGTACAAAGTTTGCAGTGCACCCTAGTATAGAAAATACCATTTATTAGGAACGTTAAACTCGCTGAACGGTTTAACTTTGAGTGAGAATATCAACGCCTCAGAAGTGCAAACAGATCTTACTGTTTATCAACAAAGAGAAGCAACGTGGGTATGTAATGATAATTATGGTTTATTTTCTTTGTATATTAATAAGCTTGATAATATTTAACTTCATGATGTAGATGAATGGGAGATATTTCCGTATCGTAGTGTCTCGAATCAACTACAGTTGCCAAGGAGCCCAGTGAATTTCAAAATTACTTTTTTAAAAAGATAATTTTTTGAGTTGGTCTCCTTCTAAGATGTTTCTTTATAGTTTCGTGCGAGCAGATGCCTAGAATTAGCCAAAAATTGACGATTATTTTTTCGTCGATCGCGATGACTGTATTAAGTATTTTTATTCAATATTTTGGTGTCCCGCAGTGGACTGATCGTAAAGACACGGTTCCCAGTGGAGCGCCGAAATCAAGCATCACTGGTTGCGGTCAGTAAGCGGGTGGATGACAATTTTGATCAGCCTGCCAAGGGACCGAGGGTGAGTGGTATTGGTCCCCGTTAAACTGTTCTACCATAAAGTGCTCGACTTCGCGCGCAGGTAGTCAGGTTACCAAAACAGGGTAGCCATATCCTCTGCAGAGGATCAAAATTGCTATTGCATGTCTTCATATCATCCTCAGGGATGTTTACTAGGCTGTCACCAATAGCCCATTGTGCAGCTCTAGTGCGATGTAAATTAAGTACCTACCACATAAGAAAGTGCAACAACTAAAATAAGTGCAACAATTGTTAAAAATCAATATTTTATTATTGAGTTAGCGTTCATACGTATACTTGTTTATTGTTTCATTTTGAATGTTTTCGGTTGTATTTTGCAATAATATGCATTCATTGCTTGATCTGGGTGCATTAGTGTTTATGGGGATATTTCCGTATAACCATTTGTTGCACCAATAGAGAGATTTCTGTATCCTGATCTGTGGTTGAATAATCTCTAAGTCTTGGCAACTTCTGGCAAAGGCTCGCAAGAAACTAAAAAAAAAACTTCACAGAAGGTACCAACTTGAAAGGTATAACTTGGAAGCAACCCATGGCAAACATCTACATGTTTTTTGTTAAAACAAAAATTCGCAACTTTAAAATCTATTTGGCACCTTGGCGATTATTGTTGGCACGACAGATCACGATGCAGGAATATCCTCACTCCAATTTACAATAGTCAAGGCGCCAAATGGATTTTATGCTTGCTTAATTTTTAAAAAAAGTATGTTTTCAAATTTGCCCGTTAATGGCTACAAGAAGAAGATTTTAGTGTCTGGATCTGTGGCAAAAAAAATCGCTAAATATTGGCAACTTAGAGGGAGCGGCTCACAAGAAACTTTAAAAAAAAACATCGCAGAAGAAGTATAACTTGTATTGACCCGTGTGTGTGTATTTTTTTCTTAAATTGGGACCATAATTTCCCATCCATATTTGTATGTTTTTGTGTGAAATTCTGTAATTTACAGTACCGTTCCAAATTATTAGGGACACTTAAAATTTCTAAAAAATTGTTATTTTTCAAAGTGTCATAACTTTTTCAAAATTGAGTCAATTTTCATCGCAATTTCAGGATATCATGTTCAGGCTCTCTACTTTCACTTAAAAGTTACTAATTTAATTTATCTCAATTTTTTGCAAAAATTTGCACATTCGAACAAAGCAATTTTTTTAAAAAAAAAAAATGTCAAGTCTGACAAGTTGCTACTTTGTAACAAAATTTTTTACATAAAAATTATTATTTACACATTAAAGTACAAGTCATTAATTTTAAAATGCGCTAAAGTAAATGACTTTACGATTTTTTTTTTGACCGAGATATGAGATTTTGAAAATTTTTTGTCATGTACAGTGAAAAGTGAGTTGGGGCAGTATTTTTGGTGAAAAAACCTGGAATAGCCCAGATATTATTGCAAACACAAGAGCTTGTATTGAAAGTATGCCGCGAATAATAAGCGCAGTTATACAAGCAAACGGACATGTTACAAAATATTAAGATTTTTTTTATTATATTTGTTTTTGTAAAAAGTTTTGGAACTGGAACACCTAGATAGTGTATTGTTCAAATGGTTTAGTGTGGTACGTTCTGAAGGAAAGTCGGTAACAGGGCCAATGATTGTTGAAAAGGCAAAGAAATTCGGCCAAGATTTAGGAGTTGCTGAAAGTGAATGTAATTATTCTGATGGTTGGCTCAGAAACTTTAAGTTTCGGCATGGAATTCGAAGACTTGATGTAACTGGAGAAACACTTTCAGCAAATCAAAACTCTGCAGAAAAATACAAAGACGAGTTTAAGAAAATCGTGGCTGATAATGATTTAATAATTGTGGCGATGTTTACCAACATCTACACTAGCTAGAGGGAGGAGAAAAGGCAGCCAAGGATTTTTAAAAAAACAAAAATTAACATTGCTATGTGCTAATGCGTCTGGAAACCACCGAGTGACACCTTTTGTGATGGGTAAATCTGCAAAACCCAGGGCTTTTAAGAATGTTACACACTTGCCTGTCCAATACGATGCTCAATCAAATGCGTGGATGACTGCCGCCCTCTTTAAAGACTGGTTTTTTCCCCACTTTGTGCCTGAGGTCAAGGAATCCTTCAAAAGCCTTGGTCTACCAGAAGATACAAAAGCCATCCTTCTTTTGGACAATTGCAAGGTCCACCCGCCAGTAGATGAGTTAGTTTCTGGAAATATTGTTGCTACTCCGCTCCCACCTAACGTAACATCTTTGATTCAACCCATGGACCAAGGGGTTAGTTAAAATTTTAAATGCTTTCATAGAAGGTCTTTTATTCAAGGCCTGTTAAATTCCGACTGTGACGTGACTGATTTTCAAAAAAAGTTTACAGTAAAAGATGTTGTCTATACTATTGCATTGTCTTGGAACCAGGTAAAAAATACAACACTCCAAAAATGCTGGAGAAAACTTTGACCAGCTGCAAACCCTGCATCTGACCTAACTCTACAGACTGATGAAGAAAACCATCAAGACGCTCTGACCAAAGTTTTGGATGTCGTTAGATGTGCTGACAATCCCTTGAAAAACCTGCCTGAAGATGAGGTAGAGAAGTGGCTTCTAATCAACGAGAATGAGCCTGTTGAACAAGAACTAACCGATGAGGACATTATCAACATTGTAGTAGACCCTCAGCCTACTCGAAATCTTTAAGAAAGTGACTCAGATGCCGAAACGGAAGAAAAGGAAAAAATCAGTTGGGCAGAAGCTGCAGAATCACTAAATAAGTTTATCTCTTTTGCTGAGGCTAGTACTAGCTACAGTGCTTCAGAAATTATTGATTTCCATATCATTAGAAATAAATTTTATACTAAACGCCAAAAGTCAAGAAAACAAAAAGACATTCGTGACTTTTTTAAATCTAAGTGAAATATGCTTTACAGTACGTGTACATACATTATATGAAATGTAAAATAAACTTTGTTGTATGTAATATTTGCATACTGTATTTGTAGTTTAATTATTAACCTAATTGTTCTTATAATTACCGCCCGATAGACCGGAATTTTCGGCAGTCCGGCACCGAACCGGTCCCGAACGTGCCGGATTATCGGACTTCTACTGTACTACATAATTTTCGAATTCACAATAATTTTGTTTTCACTATAAATGACAAAAAATTTTCAAAATCTCATGTCTCAGTCACAAAGAATCATAAAGTCATTTACTTTAGCGCTTTTTAAGGTTAATGACTTGTACTTTAATGTGTAATTAATAGTTTTTATGCAAAAAAGTTTGTTGCAAAGTAGCAACTTGTCAGACTTGACATTTCTTTTTTAAAAAAAATTGCTTTGTTCAAATGTGCAAATTTTTACAAAAAATTGAGATAAATTAAATTAATAATTTTTAGGTGAAAGTAGAAGACCTGAACATGATATCCTGAAATTTTTATGAAAATTGATTCATTTTTGAAAAAGCTATGACACTTTGAAAAATGACAATTTTTTTAGAAATTTTGAGTGTCCCTAATAATTTGGAAGGGTACTGTAAATATCATCTGTACTTATTAATTGGCATAAAAACCACCTCCTTGAACCATGAGGATTGAAATCTAGAATGTGAAGGTCTAATCCTTCTCTTTATAGCATATAAATATTATAGTCTAAAGTCTTTTCCTATTATAGTTGGCACATTTTTACTGCCCAAGAAATCACTAGGTATGATTCCTTAGTTAAAAAAAAAGTAAGATTTCTTTGGTTGCCATCAGGTATTGATTTATTCCTCATTTAACTGTATTTTCTCCTCACATTTTTTTTATTTAGAATATGATTATCATTCCAAATTGGAGGCTTAACAATTATTAGTCAATAAATAAATTATACTTACCTTTATCAACTTTATGTTAAAATGTTTCCAGTCAACACATACAATAAAAATAATGAATGCAAAACTGTAAAACATTATTTGCAATTAACTTTTTCCATTACTACAAAATAGTTTGTTTGGCAAAAAACAGTTAACAAGTTTTTATGTTAACCAAGAGTCAGGTAGAAATTAAAAAGAAAGAAAGAACAAAAATTTTTAACTGAAGTTGTAATGATGACTGAGGGAAATTTCTCAGTTTATTAATTTACAGTTGTCATGCCATTCCTTTTGGTGGATAAGCAGGAATTGTTTGATCTATATTTTTATTTTTATTGTGGGGATTTAATTTAAGACTATGCCAACCTTCATCTATCAAAAGGTACCTCTTTATAGAATCAAGTTAACATGTCCTATGTACTAGAGAATTGTTATTTATATTGCATTATATGCTAGAGAGGTATATTATATACTAATATATTATATACTAATATATTATATACTAGATCTCTAGTATATTTTATACTAGAGAATTGTTATTTATATTGTTATTATAGAGAATTGTTATATATGAACTCGCTAACATGATGGATGGTCCACATTAAACAGTTGATTTGCTTAGTATAAAAACTACTCAAAGAAAAAAAAGATCCGGTGAAGTAAATGTCTCTCGGTAATAAACAATGTAGGAAAAAAAATGAGCGGAATGCTATATATATATATAAAAAAAAAATTAGCTAAATGCTTTAAAAAAAATGAAGAAAAAAATATAATGAGCAAAAATGTTATATATAAATAAACAGCATGAATCAACTAGTGGTATCCGTTCATCGAATTCTATCACAAATAAAATTCTGAAAGGGGAGTAATGTGGCGTAACTACCACTATAAATATTAAATACCAAATCACTAGTATATAAGATATGTTAACTTGATTATATCACAAGGTACCTTTTGATAGATGAAGGTTGACATGGTCCATAATTAAATCCCCACGCTATCAAAATAATTTTGTTCAACTTATTGTTTTTAATATAATTTTTATAAATATTTTAATTATTGTTTGTATGTTATAGTTCATTTCTTGTTTTGGGTTTTACTATGGCTGTAATGCTCCAAAATGAGTTTCCTAACATGTATGGACGTAAAACAGACAGAGTTTTTACAGAAGAAGACTTTAATAAATCGCACATATTATTCGATGAGCGAGAAATATTTGATATCCTTTTTCTGTGAATTTTTTTTATATCTGTTCAAAGTTTCAAAAAATTATGGTTTTTGTAAAAAATCTTGTTTTTTTTTTTATTTTTAGAATGGTCACATGCCTCATGAAAGTAAAATAATAGTCAGATTTAATAGGACCATGGTAAATGGTTACTATTTGCAACGAATTGTTATTAAATATCCCGGACATCAAGTCTTGTTAATTTAAGTTTATGTATTAAATTCAAATATCTGATTGCATACTTTAAATGTTTCATTTTAGTCTTTTTAGTGTTCGTTCACATTTTAGGAAAGTTTGTTTTTATTCTTAAACACCTAGAAAAAATAATAATTCTTAACTCTTGCTCTGAAGATTTTTAAAATTTTTTTTTTCAAACAATGGTTGTTGCATCAAAAAAGCTTATACTATTTTCCCTGTAGTAATAATGACCAATAAGCAGTCAAATCTGTGAAAAAAGCAACCGCTTTATATTATCTTAAATGTTTTTAAACCATTAAAATGAATAAACTCGAGAAAAAAATTACTTATGGCTATAGCAGATATGCTATATACTGTGAAATATCTAAAAAGTGAAAAGTAAGATGGAAAGAAAAGTGATGTTCAAGTATTCTACCATATAGTCCTGTACATTTTATCATTGAAAGGATGCACTAAAATTTTCTTTTCTGTGTTAAACTTAGCCTTGTTCTTACTTTTAACTATTGCACATTGTAGACTTTTCACGAAAATTAATCCACACTTATAATTATAAAAGAAAAAAGTTGGAAGTTTCTTAAAAACAGTTGAAATTGCAAAAAAAAAAAAGAGAAAAAAAAATTGTAATAAATTTATTTTATAAACTGATAGAATGAGTAAAAACTCGAGTTGATGTTTGTTTATAATAGAATATATGTGTCTGCGGCATCATAGCAATCCTTTCTAACTTAATTTTCTAAACTTTCGTCATTCATTTTTCCCCATCCTTCATTTAAACAATAGGTGCTTTTTGCACCCCTGATAAACTTGTTAATCCCTCAGTTCAGTTAGTTTATAATTCAGTTTAGTATTTTAATTATTTATTATTTTATTCAGTTAAAATATTTTAAATTGTTAATATTTTTGCAAGCCTTAACATAGTTAACAATTAAATTTGACCAAACATAAATTTAAGCTTTTTGTAGACATAAATTTTTTAAATTTTCCATACTTATACAATCACGAATTTTGCTCTTTTCTTGTAAACGATGTTTATTCAAACAAATAAAACATACCCTTCAACATTTGAGGTTTTTGTGCAGGGTTAACAAGTTTTTGACAATTGACGGTTTTAATCGTGGTTTTTCATATTTAAAATAAAACTAGTAACTAAAAAATGCCGTGCACAAGAAATACATGTTAATCACATGGGAGCAAAAATAATCAGCTTTTATTGCATTGTGGAAAGATGAACTTGTGGAAAGATACTTGTTTTAAGAAACTTACCAGTTTATTTTGTGCAATCAAACTTTAACTATCTTCACAAATTTCATTTTTCAATTCCAGAGGCAACTTGAAAATAAAAAGAAACTGAAAAAGAAATAGAGAAATCATAACTTTACTGGTAAATAAGTATAATAAATTTCACAATATATACATGCATGGATATTATTAAAAGAGTGTAATTGACTCCTTTACACTATCACTGCTGTAGCTCTAAACTCCTATTACTTTTTTCAAATTATATACAAATGCTATGTGCATTAATTACTTTTAACAGGTGCACAGTTTGTTGAAAAAAATCATCACATTTTGAAGCAAATAATAATAAAAAAAACCATTATTCAATTATTATTAAATAAAAATTCATCATCATCAGTAGCTCGACAGTCCTCGGTGGACCCTGGCTTTCTCACGAAGACTGCACCAGTCCTTTCTTCCGCATGCCACGGCTTTCCAGTCTCTGACCTTGATTGTGGTAAAGTCCCTTTGGAGGCAATCCGCCCATCTCAGTCGGGGTCTGCCTCTCTTTCTAGCTCCAGTATTCCTTGCCAAAAAGATTCTTTTAGTTGTTCTGTCATCATTCATTCTTACAATGTGTCCGGCCCATTTCATGCGCTGAATCTTATGGTACTTCAGAATGTCCGGTTCTCTGAATATCCTGTAGAGTTCAAAGTTAGTTCTCCTTCTCCACACTCCCTTGTCACACACACCACCAAAAATGGACCGGAGTATCTTCCTCTCGAAAGCAGCGATGGTCCTCTCATCAGCTTGGGACAAGGTCCAGGTTTCAGATGCGTAGGTGAGAACTGATCTTATTAGGCTTTTATATATTAGCAACTTGGTGTCTCTTTTAATGTTGTCAGATTTAAGGAATTTCTAATGCCATAAAAGCACTTGTTGGCTGCAGTTACTCTCTTCCTTACTTCTGTGGAAATTGAGTTTTCGGAGTTGATTTCAGAGCCAAGGTAGGTGAAAGAGCTCACCTTTTCAAATTTATACTCTCCAATCTCGATGTGCGTGGAGGTATCGGTATAGTTGATACATTGCATATACTTTGTCTTACTCTGATTAATTGAGAAGTGCATTTTTTTGGCCTCTCTTTCCAGGTCCAGGAATGCCTGCTTTAGGTCCTTAGGGGTTCTTGCTATGATATCAATATCATCAGCATAGGCCATAATTTGAACAGATTTTGAGAAAATAGTTCCTCTAGTGTTAATTCCTGAATCTCTTACTACTTTCTCAAGAGCAAGATTGAAAAGAAGGCATGCTAATGCGTCGCCCTGTCTTATGCCATTTTTTATTTCAACAGGTTCAGATAAGTTTCCCTGTATTTTGACTTTCAATTTGGTGTCATTTAATGTAAGGGATATTAGTTTCACAAGTTTTTCAGGAATGTTAAAATGTCTCAGAGCGTCGATAAGCAGTTCTCTATTAATGCTATCATACGCTGTTTTGAAATCAATGAAAAGGTGATGTGTATTGATTTGGAATTCCTTAGTCTTTTCAAGAATATGCCGCAGGTTATATATTTGTTCAATTGTGGAACGATCCCTGCGAAATCCACACTGGTAATCCCCTATGATGTTTTCGGCATATAAAGATAGTCTGGTGAAGAGAATATTAGAGAAGATCTTATAGGTAGTACAAAGGAGGCTCATACCTCTATAGTTAGAGCAGTTGAGGACAGACAGTGCTGAGCTTCCACTCTTGGGAAGTATTTCAGTCTCCCACACTGATAGCATAATGTGGTGGATGTCTTTAATTGCATCTTCTCCAGCATTTTTTAGTAATTCTGGTGGAATGGTATCTGGGCCAGGGGCCTTATGGTTTTTTAACTTTTTTATTGCTTCCACAACTTCAGCAAGTGATGGTGGATCGATCATTTCTTGATTGGTATTTTGAGAGAAGTTGGAAGCACTTGGTGGGTGATCAATGTTCAGTAGGTCATGAAAGTGTTCTTTCCACCTTTCCATTATCTTAGATTTGTCACTCAGTATTTCCTTGTTTTTATTTCTGCAGAGAGCTGTTCTAGGTTTAAAATCTCTGCGACCAAGGTTGATCTCACGATAGAAAGCTCTGCTTTCATTTGATCTTTTGAGATGTTCAACATCTCGCAGTAGATCCTCGTGGAATTTCCTTTTCTTGGTCCGATGGACTCTCTTTTCTTCTTTTCTAGCGGCCCTGTACTCTTCTACGGAGAGTCTTGAGTGCTTTCTACTAAGCATTTTTTGGTATGAATCAATCTTTTTTTGGGTAACTACGTGGCATTCAGCGTCAAACCAATCCACTCTCTCTGCTTTCCCAACGTTACCCACAACAGTTTTGCCTGTTTCAACAACAGTATTAGAGAACACGCTCCATTTTTCATCAATGTCTTCAATGCAGTAGATGTTCTTACTTCTAAGAGCGTCTGATAGCCGGGATTGATATGTGTGTTTGATCTCCGCCTCCTTAAATTTATCACAGTTGAGCTTTTCAAGTCGTTTACCATTAGATTTACGTGCATTGGAGATTCTAGCCCTTAATTTGGCTTTGACTAGGTAATGATCAGAATCAAAGCACGCTCCACGGTATGAGCGGACATCTAGGACATCTGACATGTGTCTACTATCAATCAGAAGGTGGTCAATTTGATTGAATGTTTCTTCATCTGGGGATTTCCATGTCATTTTATGTATTCTCTTGTGTGGGAAGAGGGTGCTAGATACCACCATATTGTGTTCGGCGGCAAAGCTGACAACCCTTTGTCCATTGTCGTTTGAGTCGCCATGAAGACTGTGTCCTCCGATTGTAGGTCTAAATTCATGCTCCTTGCCGATTTTCGCATTAAAATCCCCGAGTATAATCTTGACATCATTTCTTGGGCAGGAATAGTACAGGTCGTCAAGTTCCTCATAGAAGGCTTCTTTTTCATCATCATCTTTATCTTCTGTTGGTCCGTGAACATTTATTAGGCTATAATTAAATATAGCACCGCTCAGCCTAATTTTGCACAGTCTAGGGGATTTGGCCACAAAGTCAGTAATCAAGTGCTTAATGCGCTTTCCCACAATAAAACCAGTTCCAAAGACGTGCTTTTTGATATCGCAGCTGTAGAATATAGTATGTTTCCTTTTTTCTATGATGCCATCACCAGTCCATCTCATCTCCTGCATGGCCAGTAAGTCAATAGAATATCTATCCACTTCGTCAGTTAGTAGTTGTAACCCTTTATTTTTATATAGAGTTCGAATGTTCCAGGTTCCGATAATCATGTCCTTACGCCGTTTTCCAAGTCGTCTACAGAGATTGTCCGGGTATTTATCTTCTTGAGACCTCGTAACAATTTGTTTTTTACAGGATGGGGTTGTTAGCCCCATGCCCAACCCCCAACCTGGAGGACCAGGGTGTTCCTCTTGGTCTGGTGTCTCCCTTCCGACCTGTCCGGCTTGGGTGACCCTACCAGTAGCTAAGCTACCGCCGGCATTGCTCTCGGGATCGACAACACACACAAACCACACCACCACGTAAATAAAAATTAAATCATAACAATTAAATCATAAAGATGATGAAATAATTTTCAAAACTAGGTTATAGATCAAAAATGTTTTGTAACACACAATTTTTTGTACTTTAAAAGATATTTAATAACTAAAATATGCTATAAAATATTTTAAAATTGCTTATATTTCAATAAAAAATAGAGTGTAAAATCCATTTGTTATTTAAATACTAAAATTAAACAAGTTTTGGTCACTGATTAATAATATGGCTTTAAACTATAGAAAAAAAGAGCTAGCTTTGTAGCCAATATTTATTGTGTAAATACAGTATTACTGATTCCGCAATACTGCATTTACACAATTATTATTGATTTCGTATTTCGGAATGTACGAAAATTGAACCCAGGATTTCTGAATTTCCAGTTTCTTTCTGACTAATAGTGGATCCCTATTTATAATACTAAAAATATTTACTTTAAAGATATAAGTACATAGAAAATATTTTATGATTATAAAATAAAATGCAGTTATTAATTGATTCTCCAAATAATTAAATCCAGGATTTCTATACCAATTCAACTCAAAATTATGTTCATTTGCTCCTTCTGTTTTTTATGGAAAAAAAAATTAGTTTATTTTGTCTACATAAATGTGCTAGTATGCCATTTTTTTCTTTTATTTTCCATTTTTGTCACTGGAGAATTATTTGTTCCTTGGTCAAATTTTAACATTTTTGCAACCCATCATTGAATTTTAGCATATTTATGCTATATAAGCTGCTTAAAGCGGAATAGCTGATTATCTTTTACTTATATAATTATGATTTTAAAATATACAAAAAAGGAAATCCTCATATAAAAGAGCAATTTGCAAATATAAAAAATATTCAAAATTCATTTAAAATGTGTTAAGTGCTATCAATGTGTATTATTTTATTTAATTCTGTATTTTTTATAAGTGTTCTTATAAATATTTATTTATTTAAAATCATTGTTAAGAGTAATGTCAAGGGTCTAAGTACATTTGGAGTCACATCTTACTATTTAAATGACAAAAGATAAAAATACTTTCAAGATTTGACCAAAGGTTATGAGAACCAATCAATAAGAGCAAAGGATGATTGAAATTGTCTAAACCTTCTAATTTTGAGAATAAAGTTGAAATGCTGTAAGCAAACCTATTCCAGTTCCATTATACCAGATGTTAGCAATGCAATAATTTTAATAGTTTTTTTAAGATGTTCTTCTTTATTATACATCCTTTTGGATTCAGATGGTGACTTTTTGAATGGAGGGTTTGGACATAAAATCTAACATATGTGCTGAGTTTAATTAGTCATATTAAATGATTTAAAATGTTGTAACACAGGGATAATATATTCTCTTTAAGAATGTAAAATGAAGGAGGCATGTATGGATAGACACGAAGATCAAATATATTTTATACAGCTGGAAATATCCTAATTCTTTGCCTAATTGTCTTGCTTTGCTCAATTGAGTCAGGCACTTTTTGTTTAGAAAAAATTGTTAAAAATTTTGTGAAGAATTACCCTTGGTGACATCAGATTAACATATCCATATGTTCACCGCCTAGTAAGATATTTCATTTCAGTTCCAAGTATGCATAATTTTAAGGAGATTCTTTAAAGAAAATAGTTGTAATCTCAAAATTATATGATATTTAAAAGAGGTGTCTTATTAAGATGAAAACTGAAAAAGAAAAAAAAGAAAAAAACTAGTAAAATAACTCATGAAAAACAACAATATTGAAATTTTGGCATAACTTAGTCAGGGGTCATATGCCTTTGGAAAAACCTTAAGAACTTAGGAGGCTATGGAGATTTAAAATCAGCCTGAAGACTCAGAGAAATGAAAATTTTTGCTTAAAACAAGAAAAGAAAAAAGATTTTAAGCCTTCTTTTCTTTTTTAATTTTTTTTTTCACTTAAATTCAATTGCTAAAAAATTTATGTTAGTTTTTTTTATTTTGAATGTGTCCCTTGTCTCTGATTGCAGTTGTTGTATGTAATGAAAAACTCCTATAGAAATTTAGTAAAAATTTATTTCCCTTAGTTTTTTTTTTTAGCTGCTGTTGTTTAGTGAAATTTTTTTATTTAGGACTTGAACTAATAGTAAATGTTTTTTTAAAAAAATTTCAAGTCAATTATTTGATCTGTAGGTGTATCATTATTTTGTATAATGCAATCACATGTTACATAGGAAGGGTAGTAATTTTATATCGATCTGGATGGCATTAAATTTTTCACCCTTTTAATAATTTACTACTGTATTTTGTCGTTCAATAATCTCATAATGTATTACATTATTGTATGTATCAAGAAACTCATTCAGAAAGAAACTCAGGGATTTTTTCCCCCTAGAAATTGAGTATGAACTGTGCACACTAAATAAATAATTTTTATTTTGCTGTTGAGTTATTTAAACACTTAAAAAAAAGGAGGAAAAATATGCTTTGAACTATGAAGTGATTGAAATTAGATAAAACAAATTTAAAATAAAATAATCTTTAAACTTAAAATTAATAAAAGAAAAATATATTTTAAACTTAAAATTATTAGATTATAATGAAGATTATTTTTAAATGAATGTTACAAAAAGATAAACTAAACATATTACTAACAGTAAAAATAAAATTTTCAGGTAACATCAATTAACCTTATTACATTAACTTCTTCATATTAATTCACACCAGGATACCTATGTTATAATAATATCTATGTTATATCTTGATAACACAATTTCGACTCTCTAGTAGTGTAACAACTCCATTATATGAACTTTAATACTGCTGGTAATGTATAACTGAAAAGAAGAGTACTATACCTTTATGTTCTATTTTTAGGCACATTAGATTTCATAAATTGTGCTTTAAAAACAGGGAAATTTATACATATATAACTAATTATATCTGCATTTGTAATATATTTGATGTATATCCTAAAAAATGTTTTGTACTTCGTACCCCACACTAAACAAATAAACTGGTTTTTTATTTTATTCCCTCCTTTGGTCTTATATCTTAGTTTTTGGTCAATATTTGAAGTTTTTTTTTAACCCCAGTGTTGCTTAATTTTATGAATTATCCTAAAAAGGTGCAGTCATCACAGAACACTCTGTTGACATTTTGATTTTTTAAAGTAATTATAGAGTTAAATTGTTGAAAAATGATATATGTTATGTCTTTAATGGCTTAAAAATTTTATTCGAGACATTAAAGATCCAGAACATCCTATGTCCTTGGAAGAGCTTGGTGTTGTAGAATTGGAATTGATCCAAGTAAGTTATTATTATGCAAAATGCAATTCATACGAATATTATAAATGTGAAATTCTTTGAATTGATCTCATTTTTGAATAATTAAATAAATTAGATGAATGATATGTGCCTTCACTTTCACAAAATTGGTTGCCTTACTTGCCAAGTCCATTCACTCCGTAAATCAAATATAAAATATTTCTGAAATAATTACTTATTAACTGACTAAAAATTTTAAAATTCATCGTATGACTTCCGAGTCACTACTTTCGGTTAATTTTTGTGATTGAAAAAGTGCGCCATCCAATGCTATTGTACTTGTAGTGTTTACAATATAACATGTTCTTTTAATTGAAATTTCAACAAAATAAACAAATGAATTCAGACTGCAAGCATGCTATGATTATATCTAAAAGATAAACAATGGCAATATTTTACACTAATATAGCCAAATAAGAAATAACAATGAAAACATATCAAGCTTTACACTTTATTTATGTTATGAAAGTTTTTTTTAAAGTTGTGCAAAGCTTTTATGGAAATTTTTTAAATTTCTTCCGGTTTTTGGAAGTTTGTTATTGTTGTACATTCAGTCATCCATTCGTTAGTGGCATTAATACTTATTTGAAAAATTTAGTGTTATTGCAAAACTATTTTTTTTACTATTTGAAAAATTCTACTAATTTATTGATCTTAAACTAAACATAGGGCAATTCCATGTGTTATTGAATTTCTTTTCAATTTGACAAATTTAAATTTTTTAGGTAATTATTTTGATAATGTGTACATTTATACTTTTTAAATGAGTTATTTTCTGTATATTGTAAAATAATTGAAAGGATAGCTTTGAATATCTTCTTCCATATTGTGATTATATATTAATTGTGAAAAGTAATGTTTTGTTAATAATACCAAAGTTATCCACAGATATTATTTCAGATGGGAGTCAGTTTGAAAAAATATTCTCTAGTTTATTTCTAAAATTGTGTTTGAATACTTTAAGATATTCAGGGAATAAAATTTCATGTGCACATCCGAAATTTTCTCTTATAATTTCAAAATTTGTTTAATGCTAATAAACTAAAAGTTTTTATCATAACATTTAAACTAAATGATTATTAAAAATCATCCTTTATTGAAATTAAATATAGTATGTATTACAAAAAAAATCATTCTTTTGATTTTGTGTAAAAATATATATGTGTATATTTTTTGAGTTGTATCATATGAACACATAAATTCATGATATCATATTAATTTTAAGAATAAAACTTTTGCTCTCAATTTCTGATCATACCTGGCAGCATCCTTATTTCAAAATGGAAATTCGCCATTATTTAAAATATTTTTTTTCCTACCATTTAAAAAAAAATTATAAATTTTAGTTTATGGGATTTTCAGGGGATGAAGAATCACTCTTTTTACCCCTCTTCCCTCGTGTGCATTCTTAACTCATACTTTTAGCTTTTTAAAAATTCAGTGGAACCCCGATTTTACAAATTAATAGGGACCGAAAATATTATTTGCTAAATTGGGGATAATTTGTAATATCAGGGGGGGGGGGTGACGAAACAAAAAAAAATATTGTCTAATAAGCAAATGCACAAAATAAATAGAAATTCTACACTTTTTATCAGGATCTTAAAATACAGTGAATGATCTACAGTACTGATTAATTTGAAATATTTTGTGAGTAAAGTTTGCTTATTTTCTATATTTCTTACTTTAAAAAGTTCTTTTCAACATCATAAAGAGAAGAAAATACTCTGTTATTTACATCTTGCTGCATTAGGTTTTCACTGTTTCCAAACCGTGCATCAGAATAAGTAACAATGCATCAGAAAAAGTAACAGTTTTCACTGGAGATTCATTATCATCAACTTCAGTGTCAGAGTTGCTATTCATTGTTTTAATAAATCTACTTCATTAACTTCAGTTGCATAGATATATAGTCCGTCACCACATGTGACGTATCGTTAAAATCTATTACACGAGCAATTTCTTTCCATCTGATTTCGGAAAGATCAAATGTAAAGAGGATTTCCTCATTTTCCACTCTTGTTCCAGGAAATCCCGCTCTGTAATTTTCCTCAATCAATTTTTTAGATTGAAAATCGTAGGATGGGTGGGACATTGATCAATAAAAAAATAATTTTTCTTCTTTGTATCTTCATAGACTTATCTAATGACGTCAAAAAATCTGTGAATGGAAAATAAGTCATCCAGGTTTTTTGTTTGTTTGCTGCATACTTTGTCGGTAAAGTCTTTAATTTTTAAAAATATCTCTGCTGTGCTGCTTTTTGTATCACAAATGGCTTTAACTTGTCTATTTCATCAGCATTAACTGCAAGTGATCCTCATTTTGATTTTTTTTCTGCCAAAACATTTTTCATTTCTGTTACAGAGTGTTTTTCATGCTCTAAGTCATAAAACAACTCTGTTTCATCTGTATTGTGAATTTTGGATGGTGAATATCATTCAATTAGGTTGAGTAACTTTTTCCAATCTCATACTACATTTTCATTTACATCTGCCTTTTCTCTGCACTCTTTCTTTTAGACTATGTCGTATTTTTTTTTAAAATGGTTGATCCAACCATTGGATGCAGAAAAGTCTTTAATGTTATGCTTTTCAGTTAGTTTAAGGACTTTTTCTTTGATCAAAGGATCGCTAAACAATGTTGAACCATTCCACTATATCAGACTCAAGAACAGAAAGAGGGATGACTTTCAATGACTTTCTTACATACTTTTTCATCACATTCTACAGAGGCTTTTTCAATTTCTTCTCATTGTTTAACAATTGTAGTTAAAATTGATGCAGAGATTTTTGAGTTGTTCTGCTTAAGCGTTTTGTTGTTCAACGTTTTTGTCAAACTTGCATAAAATGTTAAGCTTTTCAATCGACAAAAAACGTTTTAGTTTTCATCTATTATGTTTCACAAACTCGTACAAATTTAATGTTCTACAAAAAGAGTGTCCAACACACCTTTCTTCTATGGAATATAGAAAGGGATTGATAAGAAAAGAATTTCCTGTCCTCACAGAAGTCCAGTAGACTTCACTTCTTTGTTATTGTAGAATAGGAGAGATTAGAAAGGAATTTCCTATTCTTACATGTTACACTCAATTGTTATTCATATGCACCTATGAGGGCTGAACTGAGACCCCCATTTCTAAAATTAATGAATACAAAAGAAAGCCATTTATGTTCCCAACAGGATGGATACTGTAATCATTTGAAAAACAATCCAACCATTGGTACAAGGGAAATAAGCCTGGAGCTTCTTTGACCCTTCCCTTTGAAAGGAGAGTCTACACCACCATCTCCCGCCTAGCTACCGTCCATCTTAATGGTTTTCTATTTTCCGATGGAACTAAAATCCACCCCATCTGCCCTAAATGCCATCTACACCGGGCTTCAGCCGATCACATCCTGAACTGTCTTGGTCTTCTCTGGGAGGACATTTACTCTACTCCTCTTTTGGTGTTTGATTTTCTTCAGGTCAACGGGTTCAAGAGGATAAGCAACGACAACAATCCATAATTTTTATGACACTAATTAAGAAAAAAAAATATTTCTACAATCGGAATAATTCATTTGTTGTCTTTTATTTTATTAGTTAGAGGTTTTTTGCCTTCATTTTAATCGTGGAGAAAAGAGAAATTCGTTAAATACTGGTTTGTTATTTAATGTGATATTGCGTGTAATGTGACTAGATTTGTTATCCTACTTTAAGAGAGTGTATTTCACATTTTTGTTCTAAAATCTAAGGGCTTTTTGGTTATAGATAATCCGGCCTTGTTTTCCCATCCTTTTTTTTTCATTTGAAATTTGTATTTTCTATTGTTTTTAGAAAACAACATTTTCATTTTGGCTTCCTGAATCAGTTGTTCCTTAGGTTGTTTAGGTTTTTTATTTATTTATTTTCTTAAGATTATGGCACCCAATGAGGTGGGTGAATCATAATTTCCCATCCTGTCAAAACCAGGGTGTTTGGTCAAATTATACTAGGATAGGTTCTATTTATTTCCAAAATTATTTTGTTTCATGCATATGATTGATTTATTTTGTAGTTTTTGGTAATGCTTAGATATTACTTTGCTTTTGGCTGTAATGGGTTCAATACTTATAATTTTAGTTGTTATTTTTTATTTTTACTAAGGAAGAATTCTCTTTTTTGTCAGTTTCACCTTGTTTTATTATCTCATCTTTTAAGAGCCTTTCAAAGTGCATAGCAGCTTTATTTGGAAAATCTACTTATCCCAACTTAAATAGTGAGTTCAGGCTGAACCTATTGAATACTTTAAAATCTATTTAGAATGAAATTAGACAGCTGATCAATTTAACAAATGATCATTTTACTAGTATTTTAACAAAAAGAGCATTTTACTGGTGTGAGGTGATGATTGTTTTGTAATGTGTAATTCTGAACCATTTGGTAACCATTTTCTGGAGATAATTTTTTAACAATAATATCTTGCAGTTTATAAAAACTTCTATAATTATTGGTATTTTTTTGTAAGATATGGTAGCACAGTTGCAAGTAGCTAAAGTTTTATTTCATTCAATGTCATTTAATTAGTAACAAAACTTTATTGTATTAAAAGTGACATTAATTTTCATTTATTCATAATATTTCATTGAAAAATACATGTTTAGTTATTTATCTTAAAGACTTATTATCAGGAAGTCTATTTCCCAGACTCTCAAAAGTCCTGATAATTCCTGATAAGGTACTTTTTAGGGTGGTGGTCAGAAAACTTCTTGTACATTAACGAACTTGGACGGTCTTCTAGAAAGGTTTTCTTAGTTTATGTGCTAAAATTTTAACCTTTAAAAAGTAGTCATTCATTTGAAGATCTTTGTATAAAACTATGTAATGTTTGTGTCTCTAATTTATAGCTCAATGAAGATTCTAAAATTTGTCTGGTGGAATTCAAGCCTACCATTCCTCATTGTAGCATGGCAACATTGATTGGATTGGCTATCAAAGTCCATCTTTTAAGACTAATGCCAATATCTTTCAAGGTAAGCCTATTATATCATGTATGAAAAAAATAGCCAACATTATTGAAACTTAACTTCTTTATCAAAAAGCATGGTACTATTTGTACTTAACAGGCATTATTATTTGATATATATTACTATATAACTATTCAGCTTAAATGAATAATAACTATGTGTTGTTAATTGTTATTAATCTAAATATTGATTTTAATCCTTTTATGCCATAATTATGACAGATTTTTTAGTTTAAATGAAACTAAATTGGTGATCAATAATTGTGTGACCAAAACTTGTGAAATTCTGTTTGATTCTCAATAATTGTTAATGCTTATATGTAAAATATAAAATAATTTTGCTAACCTATGACCTTCTAGATAGTGTATTGTTTGAGTAAATAGAGTAAAACCTTGCACACAGGTCAAGATTGATGTTGAAAACAATTGAACAGTTCTCATGGTTACAGTCGAATCTCGTTTACAGTCGTTTTTAGTCGAATCTTAATCATTTCATTAAAGAACTTGAAACAATATTTCTATCTCAAGAAATTAAGATGCTTGGTTTTTACCGAGCATTGACATTTTTTGTGACCACCAGTAACAAGAGAGTGTGATAAAAACCATTAAAAATAGAGAGGAAATTACAAAGATAGCAATATTATTTTGATGTCAAATACATGATCTTCGGGTCATATGTTGGCAAAGTTATTTTTAAATTAGCCTGTACATGAGCATTGTCTATAAATTATGATTATAATACATATCTTGATAGGTAAACTAATTAGAAATTACAAAAAATATAAATTGTCTAAATCATTTTTTATTTAATTCTTTAATTAATCAATCAGAGGATTTAATTAAATTATTATCAATGGTTAGTACAATTATTTGACTAAATTTGAGTTTGTTATAATAGTTTTCATTTAATTATGCAGGACAATTTTTATTTATAATAAATTATAATTTTCTAGACCAAAATTTTTGATTTTTGACATTAATTGTCCAAACAAAAAAGTTGTTTGATGTCTGAATCATTAAAGAACATAATGGATTGCTTATTTGAAGTTATTTAAGTACTTTTATCAGGGGTAGGGTTTTGGACGTCCTAAACTGGTTTTGGACAGGACACATGGGTTTTCCTGTCTTAAGGTAAAAATTCTATATGTGTAACCATTGTACACATAATAATTACATATATTAATAAATATTTTATGCTTTTTATGTAATTTGCTTTAACTTATTATTGAAAAATATTATAATCTATCCTAGATAAAATTCCACTTACACCTTGAATAAAATTCCACTTCAGCAGTTGCTCATTATAATGCTCTCCTTTTTCAGTAACCCTTCAAATATAACAACTGACATATTAAGTTACATATTAAATTTCATTCTATCCTTGCTGTAAAATTGTAAGCCCATTATATTGACTGAATTGAAGCATTCCTTTCCATAAAGCAGCTGAAATTTAGCTTTAAATTGTTTTATCATTCCCAGAAAAGTCATCTTAAATATAAGTGCTAACTTTTTTGTACTTTCGTACAAAAATGCTTTTGTTAACAATGAATCATTGCTTTATAATCTCTTAATTTATATAATGATTTAAATTGCAACTTAAATACAATGATTTACATAAATCACTTGATTTCCATTTAAAGAAATCATTGATTTAAGTCTACAAATTTTTAAATACAGTATTAAGTCTCATTAACTAGATGTCAGTTTGCTGGAAATGTTTGTTTTCTGGATGTTTTGTTACAATCGAAGGAAACAAATTTTGTTTCCTTTTTCAAAAGTATATATATTTTTCAATCAGTTAAAAATGTTCAATCTGTTTTTGTAATCTGTTGAAAAAAATATCAATAAGACATTTATTTCTGCTTCTTTCTTGTTGTTGTTTTTCCAATACTTAAATATTTATTTTGCTTCAATAAGCACACCAAACTAGTTGTTGAAAATACAAAGGCAATTAAAAAAAAAAAACAACAACTTGGTGAGAATAATAAACAATAAATATTGATAAATTTGAATATTAATAGTGTTTGAAAAGAACACCAGCAGACTAAATTTGTTTTCCTTTAAATTAAAAATGTTTTTACTAAAGAAACTTAGTCAATTCTGTTCCTTGTTTTATAATTTTTTTATTAAATCAGATTAATTTTCTTTGGAATTTGAGACTTTTTTAATGTTATTTTTATCTGATTATCTGCCCAGCTAATTTTGCACATCTAATATTAAAAAAAGTGTCTATTCTTAAAAGAGAAAGTTCAAATTATCAACTATTTACTTTTATAAATTTTTTTTAACCTCTAAGAAAACGTTGTTGTAAAAGCCAAGCACGGAACCCTCAGTGTATAGTTCCCAAGCATGCTTGGTACTCATTTATCGACCCACTGAAGGGATTAAGGGCTGAGTCAACCTTGCCCAACCTGAGGATCGAATTCACGACCTGTGGCACAGGAGCGCCAAGCGCTACTACTCAGCCACCAAGCGTCATCTTTTTCTTTCTTTTTTTTTATAAATGCTGATTCAATTAGTGTTTTTTTGACTAGAGAAATATAAACAATTTATTGATAAAAATCTGTAATTGATTTTTTTAATGGTTATTATGTCTCATTTGTTTAGGTGGATGTTCGTATTCCTCCAGGATACCATAATTCTTATAATGCTAGTAAGTAAAGGATATTTGTTTTAAATAAAAAAAACTTAACCACATTTATTCTTAGTTTATTAAGTATGTGTTCTGGTAACTGCTAGCTATCAAAAATTTTATAAAAAAATCAATGAGAAAAAGGCTAAACATTAAATTAATTTTTAAATAATGAATCAACTGACAACAAGCAAAACGTTAAATAATGGCACGTGATTACAAAAATTATAATGGCGAACATAGGGAGTCGCAATAAAACCCTAGTAAACAAAAGTACATTTTAAATTGTTGGATTAACCCATAAAAAACTGAAGTAAATAAATCATACCTTATCATTTAATTCTTGGGGGACATCTTTTCAACCAAAGCACAGCTGTAAAAACAAAAAGTCAAAAGAAAACAAGTCCAGGGTTAAGGTGAGGTGGAAAGTTCAAATTTATTCTGTTATACTTCATTCAACATCATGCAGTCAAGAAAACACAGCAGGCGTATGGAGAAGGTACTGGATATGAGAGGCTGGGAGTTCATTACTTTCGAGGTTTTCGTTTAGACAGAACGAGTCAATGGGAGAGGCTGGAAGTTCATGACAGCCGATGACGCCACGCCAGCACAAACTCTGATGAATTTCATCATTTGACAAAAAGGGAAGCTGTTCCACGGATATGCGACGACCAGCATCACACACAACGATGCCCACTCGTCACACACATATCAATTAGTTAATTACAAAAATTATTGTCAAAAAAATTATTTGTCAAATTATAAGGACAAGCCTTAGGGATGGTGATATTGTGAAAATTATCAGGCATAATTACCAAATTAGAATTAGAGACTAAGTTATTCTTACTCCGGGTAACTATGGAATTCATTTACTAAAAATTTTGTCTACTGGACATGTTATTATGAGTTGATAATTACCTTTAACAACATTACTATTTACCTAGACAAAGCAACATATGAAATAAGAAATATAATATAAAAAATTCAACAATTACTACAAACTACCATATATTTTGAAAATATTATTAAACATTTCAACATTAAACCTTAAGAAAAATTGTTATACCAAATATCACAATCAAAGTATTTATCAATTAAAAAAAACTAAATTCATGAATTTTTATCTTTTTTTGCATTATAAGTCATACACTAATAGAAATCAACACCCCTCAACAAAATAATTTTAAAAAAAATATCATTTAAATTATCAAACATGACCTATTTTAAAAGCATATGAAGCAAAATTTTAGTTCACATAAAATTTACTAAATTTTAAATAATAATTATTATTTTAACCAATTGCTGTGAAATTTGTATCCAAACTATTTTATGTAAACATCAATTTTATAGAATAAAAGGAATCTTAGTATAAAGTTGTTATATGAAACATTATTTACCAACTCCAATTAATATTTATTATTTAATCAAAAATACTTATATTAATCATCCTAATCACAATAGTTATCATTTTTAATCACTATTACAAAACAATTGTCTGATTCAATTACAGAAATTATGAAAATTAATTATTGATTACTCAACTTAAAAAACTTATCAATTTGATTATTATATAAAAAAATTATAAATAACCAAAGCAGACCATCAGTTACCCAACAAAATTGCAATTTATTAAAATTGATTGTATTGTAAAATTTATTATTGTTAAGTTGATTATTAAACTAAAAACTATTGAAATAAATATTTCATTGCCTAATTCAAAACAAGAAAACTTATTAAAATTTTTTTTTGTATATTGTAAGAAATAATCACTACATACAAAACTTTAACATGAAAAAAAATTCATGATCCAATACTTTTAAATTTTAAACAACATAGCAGTACCTTAAAGTTGCGGCACCATAGATGCTCCGGTAACTGCTAGCTATTAAAAATTTTATAAAAAAATCAATGAGAAAAAGGCTAAACATTAAATTAATTTTTAAATAATGAATCAACTGACAACAAGCAAAACGTTAAATAATGGCACATGATTACAAAAATTATAATGGCGAACATAGGGAGTCGCAATAAAACCCTAGTAAACAGAAGTACATTTTAGATTGTTGGATTAACCCATAAAAAACTGAAGTAAATAAATCATACCTTATCATTTAATTCTTGGGGGACATCTTTTCAACCAAAGCACAGCTGTAAAAACAAAAAGTCAAAAGAAAACAAGTCCAGGGTTCAGGTGAGGTGGAAAGTTCAAATTTATTCTGTTATACTTCATTCAACATCATGCAGTCAAGAAAACACAGCAGGCGTATGGAGAAGGTACTGGATATGAGAGGCTGGGAGTTCATTACTTTCGAGGTTTTCGTTTAGACAGAACGAGTCAATGGGAGAGGCTGGAAGTTCATGACAGCCGATGACGCCACGCCAACACAAACTCTGATGAATTTCATCATTTGACAAAAAGGGAAGCTGCAATCACTGTTATTTTAGATAAATCAGATGGCTTTCTTGAAGAAAAATGTAAAGTATTTTTTTTTTACATTTAAAATGTAAGTGCAGCCATGACCATCAGCAATGGCGGTGTTGACGCCATGTTCCGACCTCAGGGGGAGGAGGGAGAAAAATAAAAAATGTGAAACTCCGTTTAGCGGAGAGCTGCATGAAAATGATTTTTGAATGCGACGAGCGTCTCTTGTGCCCCGATATTTATCCACTTGCTTAAAGTTAAATTACTTATTTTTAGAAAGTTGAGATGTTACCACAATTATTTTTCAAGCGTTACGGTTAAGAAACACATCTCCGATCTTGTAAGGCACGCTGATATCAAAGATGCCGACAACCATCTGTAAAATTCTACGAAAAAGGGTTGGACGAAAGGAATGTAAAATGTAACGTCAGGGGGAGAAAGTCCCCATTGCACTACAGATTAAGGGGCGAGAGGAATTATATCAGGAAATAAGGATTTGTAACAGGAATTAACAAAATTGTACCAAAATTAAATTAAACTTGTGACTTGATGTCACAGTATGCTTATTTAAATATTTTTTAATGTTCATTTAAGGAAGAATCCAAGGTACGGCAATAATGGCATGTAAATAATTTGACAGTAAATAATAGATTTTGTTTTTACCCATCTTTTTTAGGTTTGTAAAGAGTAGGTGCGTTGAAATCACCGTAGTCATTAAATGTAGAGAACATTTGATTTTTTTATTAAAAAAATTTGTTCCAAATTTACATTTCAGATGAACAACTCTCAAAACTTGGATGCTGTTAAAGAAATGAGCATTCATAGTAAAGGACATACATGTTCTTTTCTGGACTCATAAAGTTATTAAAATCCTTAAAAAAATTCCTCAATTTTAAAACTGTATTTAAAGCTTTTAAAAACTTTGAAAAACTGCTCTTTTTTTTTGTACTTCACACTTTCAGTTTCTTAAAGTATTCTTATTTTAGATTTTCTGCGAAATAAATGTCTGTTATTATAGAAGTGTCAAAAATATGAAAGTTGAAATTTCTGAAAAGTTTCCTCTCTCTCTTATAAGCTCTGATCTCTTTCCTCACACTAACCCTAATGATTTTTTTAACATGTTGCATGACAGGCAAGAATGAATGTTGAATGATAGATAAGAATTGTAAAAATCAAAGTGTTTGCAGCAAGCTCTGTAATATGCTTCCTCAGTGTTTGAAATGGATAAATTTTCATACTGGCTTTTAGAGAAAAGTTAATGTTATACAAATTAGAAAAAAGTCTGTCTTTAATTATATTTTCAACTATCTTGGTTATTTGGGGTAGCACAGATGTTGGTCTACAATTTGAAAAAATGCTTATTTTGCCTTTTTTTATTATTAGATTAACTATAGCAACTTTTAATTAACAAGGTTAAATAAACAATAGGATCTATTGGTTTATAAATGAAGAAGTTAAAAAGCCAATTTGTAACTTAATAGTTAGCTTTAGTTAATTAGTATGTTTGAGGCCATCCACTGGAACTATTATGTTCTGCACTTAACATGTGAAAATTGGAAGAAGTCTCTCCCCCTTTTTTTTAATTTTTTTTTTTTTTAGTATCCTGCATTTGTTTGTGGCTGCCTGCACATGTTGTCGTTTCTTCAGCGGCAGGTGTCTTCTGCAAACTCTCTAACATTTGAGGCTTGAGAAAAATATTTTTTCCTGTTGTAGGGAACAAAAGCTAGATTTTTAAAGTTGGATTTTTATTATTAGAGGATTTAGTTTATTAGAACTGAAGAGCATGATCACATGTCTATCTGACCCTTTATCTGTTTAAATTATTTATTATTAGTGGTAGGCAAACTTCAAAGTTCAAATTCCAATTTATAAAAATATTAATACATTACCTTTTTTACCACTGGGAAAAATACTTTTTGAAATTACAAAAATTCCATAGTAATTGGAGGGTATTCTGCTATAGAAGCATATCAAGTGTTCTATTTATACATTCTTATTTCTAGGTTGGTTGTCAGGGGGGGATCCAGAAATTTTTCCTGGGGAGGGTCATAGAATCAGTCCCCCCCCCACACACACAATAAATTTTTTTATAAGAAAAAATTTTTTTAAAATATTTTTTTTGAAAAAAAAACTATGGTTTTTAATGCTAGTCTTCTCATTTATTTTTTTCATAATGAACAATAGAACAATACATAAATAATTCAAGTATTCAACATCTATAAATAATGTTTACGATGAAACTATGGCGAATTTCGTTTTAATCTTTTGGATTATGATTCTTGAAACAGTGAAGAACATAATTAGACGAAAAAAAATCAATATTTCTGACCTACCTTTGTGTATCAGCCCCCTTAAATAATTTTTAAAATATTTTATTTCTTTTGTAAACTATTAAAAAAATTATTATTTTTATTTTTTTTTTCAATTTTTGGGGAGGGGTCATGACCCCTATGACCCCCCCCAGCTGGATCCCCCACTGTTGGTTGTTAATATTATTCTTATATAGACATCCAAGTTTAAATGATAAAATATGCTAAATCTAGCCCCATTTTTCATAAATATTAGTTCTTAAACAAAATCTTAAAAAATGTGCCAAATATCATGTCTAAAATCGCTCAGTATTTATTTTGTGTATTTTTTGTTGCAGTTAATAAACAGCTTGCTGATAAGGAAAGAGTGTCTGCTGCTTTAGAAAATCAGTATTTACTGGGAGTCATTAATGATTGTTTATTACTTTCTGATCCTCAAGACCTGCCACCTTTTATTGAAACTGCTCTGAAAGACTCAAAGAAGTTAGATGACCCTAAAATTAAATACATACAATATAGTAGGCAACATATAGAATCCTATCGTCGATGGAAGGACATTATTAATAACCAAACAAATAGATGTCACTTGACCTATATTGCTTAATTTGATTCATTATTGTTTTTGTTAAATATTGTATTTTCCTTTTGTATTTTTAGATTTTTATTTTTCATTAAGTTACTACATCATTAAATTTAAAAATCTAACTCATTCCTGTGTATATAAAGTTCTTCTCTTGTTAAGTTAAGAATTAGTTTTTTAACTTATTGAAAGATAAAAATGAAATTGCAGTTTTGTTGTTAAAAGAAGTCATAAATATGATTGTAAAACTCTGTATTACAAAATAAGGATATATTAAAATTATAATCATTATCTTATCTCAGTGCCGCTTAATAACATTTCTATACAATAAAAATGCAATTATTTTTTTAATATTTCTGCTTTTTTGCAACCCAACATTTTTATTCTGTTTCACCTGGAGGATATTCATTTTATTTTTTTCTACAATCATTAAATACTTCTAGCTTGAATCTTAAAATTATTTGCAGTCTATACATAATAATTTAAAGTTTGAATGCTAATGAATCTTTGGGTTGTTTATTTTCGTTAGTTTCTTCAAATTGCCTACTTTTTTTTCTTACGGAATTTAAGTATTTTCAATAATTTAATTTTAACAGTTGCTTTGGTTGAAAGTTGGTTAATTGGCGATAGTCTTAGGACCTAGTCTTCTTTGTTGTCTTGGATCAACTAATTTGTTTCAGTGACATGATACTTGATTTTCTAACAATTTTCTTGTTCACAGATAATCATTTTAGTTGCATGCAATACTACACTATGCTTTCATGTTCTATTTAAAATATTAATACCAGCTTAGTCAGGCAATCAGGGCCCAGACAAGTGAGCCCCATATGAAGGCACCACATCACATTTTTTTAAAATGAAGTTTCTCTTTTTTTATAGGAAAGAAATTGTGTGAAGATAGAATTGCAATTTAGTTTTGTAAAGTTTAATTTTATTATTCAACTTGCAAAATTATCTGCATTTTTTAGAATGGGGATTTGATTTTTTTTCATTCTTCCCCTGTTCGCATTGAATTATTCTAAAAATGAAAGAATTTTATATTCAGGAAAATATAGTTGATGTTTATGAAATAACAAGTTATTTAAATGCACATGCTTCCCCCCCCCCCCCGAAAAAAAACCTATTCAAAACATTTTAACACTGAAAATGTTTTTATTTGATGAATGGAAAAAAGTCTATTTCTACATTTAAACATTTTTAGAAAGAAATTCAGGGGAATGATTACTTTTGAATTTTTACGTCTCAGCTTTAATGAAAGATTTCAGAAACGAACACAATTATAATTTCAGGTTTGGGTTCTCGATGTCACATAACTTTTTCAGGAAACATTTCAAACCATAACCTTAACTTAATCTCTAATTTTTCATAGAAACATTTCATTCATGCAAAACAAAAACAGCATAGGATAAATTTTAGGTATTTAGAACATTAGGGTGAATTTTAATTATTTTCATAGTCATTGGAATATCTCAAAAATATTTTTAGGAAACAATATTGGTAATTTTCTAATATCTTCAACTCTCCTCAGACGAGTGGGTGACCACTTGGATCAGTCTGCGTAGGGACCGAGGGTGTGCTGTATTGGTCCTCGTTAAACTGTTCTACCGTAAATTGCTTGACTTCGTGTGCAGGTCGTCAGGCTACCGAAGTGGATGTGCCATTCCCTCTGCGGAGGATCAAAATTCTGATGGCATGTCTTCGGATCATCCTCAGGGATGTTTCCCAGACCATCACCAATAACCCATTGTGCAGCTCTAGTGTAACGTAAATGAACTACAACAACTCAACTCCCTCAGAGGATTTATTATAGTCATATAAATGTGGTTTTCTGACTTCAAGGTGCCCAGGAGTTTTTTAAAATTTTTTATTATTTTTTCAGACATACGTTTCTTGCACCATTTATCTTAGTATGTTTAATATTGTAAGATTTCTACTTAAGTTTGCAGTACATCTGCATTCTGCTCTATTGTAAGTAACATTTCTAAATAGTAAAACCTTCCAAATTAGAAATTTTAGATTTCTAAGCTTTATTTATTTTTTGATTTAAAACATTTCATTATGAAACATTAATTATGTTTTGTTAATGTTATGCAGCCTATATGAAAAAACCTTTATTATAAGTACACTTATTTTCGAAGATTGCATGATTTTTTTTTTAACTTCTAATTAGTATGATTTAATATAAATTAGTGCAAATAAGGTACACAATAATAACACATATCTACAAAGGCAACACTTTTTATGTATACAAAATCAACAAAATATATATGTAAGTTAATTTCGTAGAAAAGTTAACTGTTGTATAAAATCTCTTCTTCTACATCTAGTGCAGTAAAATTATCCATACGAGAAATAGAATTTTCATTTATTGGATGCTTACTCCAAGGAATGTCTTTAATGTTTGCTAACCTAGCAAAGCTTGAATATTCTGGTTCATTTAATACCTCAACTAATCTATGGGGATGGTTGGTAATCATCCCGTCTACTCCCAAACTGAAAAAAAATAAAATCTGTTTTAGTAAATGAATTAGACTTTTAATATTTACACTTTTAAATATTATCAAACATACATTTGAGAAAAGTAATATGAAATTCACTTGAAGTTGAATTAAGCCTTTGATTACTTAGTTCAGACCCCCTGAAATTTTTCTAAACTAACGATTTACAACTCTACCGTTAAAAAAAAAAAAAAAGAAGAAAAATAAGTAGAACACAAACTGATGTAAAATAATTAAATGATTTATTGAAAATTTAAGAGATATAAGAAATGTAGAAAAATAATATGATGGATATCATTTTTCATGTCTAAAAATCTGTTTTTTTCAACCCATCAAAATATTTTAAATAACTAGTAATCGTCTGCTATTTATGTCTAAAAAAAAACAAGTGTGAAATGAAGTAATTTTCAGAATACTATTAATTAAAATATTAATTAACAAAAATATAATTCATTATTTACGTAAAAAAATAATATTTAAGAAATATAAATAATATTAACAAAATACCAAAGTAGCATTGAAATAAATAAAAAACTTGAACAAGGATTTAGCATTTCTTTATTCTGTTTGTTTTATCTAATTCGAAATATTAATTAAGTTCCATAAAACTGCAAAAATAAAATAAAGGAAAGCTTCTATGCTTATAGTTTTTCTTAAAAAAGTCCTCTGATTTTAAATCAAAACTCTTCCAGTCCTATCCTCACTTGAAAAAAAACAACATTTAAATTATAGTTTTGCGTAAAAGAATTATGTACTTTAATTAATTCATCTAGTTTCAAATTTTTACCAGTTTCAAATAACCAATACAATCTCCCTCTTCCGATTTCTCTGACAACCAAATGCATACACCTTTTTTATAAACAATTCTGCTCTTCTCAACTTTTTTTTTTAAATTTTTAAAATCAGAAATGAAGAAAAATTAATTTACTTTCAATTTAGCAATTAAAATAGACTTAGTTTAAAGAGCACATTATATCACTAAATAAAAAAAAAGGTTATTTCCTGGTCAATAAACTGTTAAAATGTAATGATAAGTTTATCCATAATAACACTTGCTAAGAAAATTTAGGAAACTGAAATTAATTACAATTGCTTTCTTCGAATCTGAATAAAAAGAAAGAAATGCAAATTGTTCTCACTCTACTCTCTTATTATTTAGTGGTAAAAAGAAACAATTTCTAAATAAATTATTAATATTTTAAAATTTATTTATATTGCTGCTTGAAATATATCGGTTTCAAAGATGTTATTTACGGTCTGAATCAGACATAAAACTTATACTTTTTTTGTACAGGTCTTTAATGTAGTGTAATGTTTTATTTATACTGCATTTCAACAAATAAGTTATTCTAAAAATTGTAGAAAAACTATATGCTATATCTAAGACACATTATCTGAATTTTACATGTCTGTACAATTGCATTCCTTGGGTGTCATACAGATGAGATTTATTAGGGGTTTATGAATTAGCCAAAACTCATCTATATTATTTCAAATATTCGAAACAGCAAAGTCTTGTACCTGGGTTCAATTAAAGCATATATATGTATATTTTTTTTTAACATTTTGATAGTGCACAGTTTTGATAGTGCATTTTGATAGTGCAAACGTTCAAAAATTTTTAAGGTTAAAAAAGAAATACTTAAATTTCAAATGTTGATGAAAAGGGAAAGTTCTTTTTTCATGAAATTTTATTTTATGCTCATAATGTTCTTGTAATTTTTAATCTTACTAGAAGAGTGATGAATAAACTACCCCTTAAAAGTGATGAATAAACCACCGCCATCTATATAGAAAAACATGGCTTATACTGGAAAATTGTGAACTTTTTTTGAATTGGCGAGCTATTTATTATGGACATAATACGAAATGCGTGTTTAATAAAATTAATATAGTTTGGAATTTAAATGTTAACATATAATTCGGCAATATGAAATATATTTCTTTACATTTTATTGTTTAATTATTAATAAAACATAAAAAACTGGAAGAAATTCAAAAGAGAATTAAATGGGTCATGAAAGTGAAAATGGACATAGTGTATAGTGCTGTGTTTATTTTCTTGTCACGAATGAATCCAAATTTAGCAACCTAGATAAATTATTTTGAAGCTGATTTCTCTTAATTTTTTTAAGGTTCCTAAATAGCTTCAGTGATCAAATTTTAAAATGCAAAGTACAGTTTAGTGTTAATGTTTTATTTAGATTTATGTAATAAGAACAAAAAATGATGAAATACATTTGAACTTGAAAATATGTTTTTTTTGTTTTGTTTTTTTTCAAATTGTGGAGGTTGGGAAAAGGTCAAAAATTGTGAAAAAAAATTGATTTTTAAAAATACGTTAGAATTTTTTATTTCACAATTTTGTTTACTGTATTTTGTTCGTCAATAATAAATTCAGAGAATAGACAATTCATTACTGTTTTTATTATACTTATAATATACTATAAACAATTTACAGCTAATATCGCAATGTATTTGAATAAATCAAGTCTGCAATTATTACTATCATTTTTAATTTTGCTGTAAAATGCGAAACAATAGTTTGATCAGTAAGTGTGTAGTCTGCTCCTTAAAAATGTTTTAAGATATCACATTTAAATCTGAATAATAGAAATAACCGAAAAAAGAAGTTATGAGCTTTAATACTAAATGTGTCAGCATTGGTTATAGTTTTTTAAATTACAACTTTGCTGCTATTGATATTACATACTAAAAATAATCTTTATGGAGCAAGGTCCTAGATTCAAGCTACCTTATTGAGAAGCATAATTAGAGCAATTCTTTGAAAACCATTATTTGGAAGCTCGAAAAATCACAATCAAGAAGTTTTCAAACTTTCAAGTGATGACGTAAGAGACGTCGGTGTTTGATCAAGCACCACTAGTAGTGGGTAATCTGTATGAGAATTTTTTAAAAAAAGTGTATTAACGTAAATTTGTTATAAACTGTCTGACCTGTAGGAATCTTGTTTAAAAACCCTTTGAATTTTTGTATGATTATATTATATAAATACTTGGTTATCTATATGATTATAATTTAATGCGAATAACAAGTTAATCTCGCTCATAAGATATTGTCCCATTCCCTTATCTTTTGAGTAGGGCTCAAATTTACAAGGTTACGGAGTTGATATAATCTCTGTACAAAGCTGATGATAAAATAAACATAAGCTTTAATTTATTCATTTATGTTATCCAGCTTTATAAAAATTTTACTCTAATATTTTATATGTAATTGTAGCTGTGGTCGGAACTAACACGCTATAAGTTATGGAACTTCGGTAGTCGTTGCTTTTCTTTTCATAATTTGTAATGTAATGTGCTACTTTCTAGAAAAAGTAAAGTAGGGCGATAAATCTATTTTATAGCGATTTCTGGTAACTATATACTTTCATGAAAATCTTACTCTAATATTTCATATGTATTGTAGCGATGGTCGGAACTAACGTGCTATAAGTTATGGAACTTCGGTAATCGTTGCTTTTTTTTTCATAATTTGTAATGTAATGTGCTGCTTTCTAGAAAAAGTAGTGCTATAAATCTATTTTATAGCTATTTCTGGTAACTACTTTTATGAAAATCTTACTCTAATATTTTATATGTATTGTAGCTGTGGGATCGGAACTAACGCGCTATAAGTTATAGAAATTCGGTGATCATTACTTTTTTTTCTTCATAATTTGTAATATAGTGTGCTACTTTCTAGAAAAAGTAGTGCAATAAATTATTTTATAGCGTTTTCTGGAAACTACTTTCAACGTTTGTTTAGTTACGAAACAAAGTTTAAAAGGAACTAATTATTTGAATTTGTAGTTGAAAAAAGTCATCAGCAGAATGTTTCCGAAGTACTTTACTTCTTTCCTTAGAGGATATTTAGAAGTTCTCAACACTTAAGAAAATCACAAATATTTAATATTTTTTTAGCTTTTCTTAAATTACATATTTGCTGTCAAAAAAGGCATACATAGTTGAAGGTTCAAATTCGTAAAACAAATGGTTCAGTATAAAAAATTGGCTCTTTGAAATACGTATTGATAACTTTAAACATAGAAAATTATTAAGAATTATCTATTCACGTTTTTGTGAGCCAATTTTTTATTCGGGGAGGGGGGGGGGGGTAAAATTATTGCTCTTTCAGAGGAAATAATTGTTCAAAAGAAAAACAAAGCACAAAAAGAAGTGCATAAATTCATGTTTTCAAAATTTTATGGAGATTCTGTACTTAGCGTAGTATGCTCTAGCACGCTCACGAACGTAATTTCAGCCCTAACTTTTTAAGAAGCCAGTTTTTTTTTTTTTTTTTTTTTTTTTTTTTTTTTTTTTNTTTTGTTTTTTTTTTGTGCAAGAGGCGTTGCTCAAAACTTCGTGCGGAATTCGTCGGGATAGGTTACGTTATTACGCTTGGTATGGTAGTTTAGTATGTTATAATATAATATCTGACCGATTATTGTATATAATATTATTGTTAGATAATATTGACCGATTATTGTTAAATATCACTTTTAAAAGGCCACTTAACCAATTAAGTGCGCTTGATGTGTATAGACGTCGAATCAAATATCTATTGAGGTACGTATGATGTGTATACTCCTTCGTGTAAAATAAAAAAAATTACCATTGACTATAAAAACTAGAAATTTCAATAAAATACATCATTATAATTATTTGGTGGTATGTCTCCTTTATTCAGGAATGTGATTCGTCGGAAATCAGCGAATCTCAAAACCTTTGATTAGCTGTCTTCCGCAAATCAATGCATATTCCGACAAAATTTTCTCAGAGTTCCGCAAATCAGAAATTTAGATTTCGTTATTCACGCAAAATCTTGTTACGATAACGAGACATTAATTCTGGCTATATCAGTGCTCTTTTTTTTTTTACTTCCTAAGTCCTCAATCACACGCGATAACGACTTTTTTTCTACATAAATTTTTGAGAAAAACGCAACTCCGTATAAACTTCCAACACACCGAAAACAAGACTGAAAAAAATAAATAAACTCTAAAGCAATTTCGGTTAGAATTAATGAACTACTGAGGTATAAAAACACAAAAGTATAAAATTGATAATCTAAAAAATATTTTCGAAATGGGAAACATTTTGTTCGCTAGAAAATAATGATGCTTCGTCTCCCTTTTTTTTAAGCTTATAGTTTTAATGAGTAGCAATTTTGTTGAAAATTCAGATTTTTAGCAAAAGAATTATTTAATCAATGCGATATGTTTATCCCCTATTTTATTTGGTTACAATTAGATAGAATTAATTTTTAATATGACATTACGACAAATCCTTATATTTTAACACGATATTAACCACCTTCTCTGTCGGTGTCGCATCTCATACGTTCGGCGTCGCATGGCATGCGAGGAAGAGAAAAATTGCATCATTGAAATTGAATGCGTCACTATCTTACACTTCTCTATTAATTCCCGAGCTTGTTTTTGTGTTTCTGATTATTGCTAAGAGATGGCGCAATTAGACCCGCTTTCTTCACTATTTTTGCAGTGAGATTTCCAGCCTTGAATTGAAATCAAAATCGAATTTTGTACTTTCTGCAATTTCGTTTTCATCAGTGTTACCCTTGCATATCAATATAGTTGTGATGTATGAGGTAGGAAAAGTTAGAAAATTATTTTTTATCTAATTTTAATGATAATTTTATGCATATATTTATCTTAAACAACTTAGAACAATAGAATTAATAAGTATGTTATCACAGCGTATATATTTAAGATGAAACTTGGATGCATTGCAGGGAAAACTGGAGATCAGTGGAAGGGACATCACATATTAACACCACCAATGGGTCAGACAAAAAACTGCTTGCTGATAAAAATATCTCGCGTTTCCGAATTTACGATGGGACATATATGAATTTTTAGCAATGAAAAACTGCTTTTTTGGGGTTGGAAATTCGAGAAAAAATGCGGCAGAGAAGGGATTAAGAAACAAGAAATTCGAATCGCACACTTCACTTTTCGACACGCTTGATTTGCGTTAAATCCTGCGACGTTTCAATATTTTATGTTTTTATTTTTTATGTATTTAATTTTTTTTTTTGTAGTTATGGTTTGTGATCCCACATGATTCCTTAACGTGTTGATGAGAAGAAAATTTATTATATAACATTTTTTCTTTCTTTCTTTATTTTGATCTTTTTAACTCGTATCGATCAGAAAGAATGACGATGGAAAATATCAATATATTGCGTTGGGAGGTATTACTTCACCCACCTTTCTTGCCTGATATTGCACCATCGGAATTTTTATTAATTCCGATAGCTACAATATTTTTTAGTGACAAAAAGTTTGAAACATGTCCAAAATGAGCAAACAAAATGATGAACAAAATTAGAGATAAATCTCTCATCATGTTTTAAAAGAAAAAAAAAGACAAATTTTCAACTCAATTCAAATGTAAATTTAATTCTGCAAATATGTAGTGTGGTTTTTCTTTATTACACAATTTCAAAATATAAATAATGAATGATAATTGTGAAATTACAAATGGCTTAAGTAGCAACGTTTATAAAATATGTTTTATAAACTAACAAATTCAATTGAGATTTCGATAAAATAAGCACATTTGTAAAAAAAGAAAAAAATAAAAATAAAAAAAAAATTTAAAAAAAAAAAAAAAAGAAGAAGAAGAATACATTATAAAATTAAAGACTTAAAAATTATGAACGATATAAAATTCGTCAGAAAATCCATTGATCCAAAAAAAATCAGCTGAACATAAGATATACTTTGAAGTAAGAGGGAGGAAAATGGATGGTAGCAGAGTTCGCTAATATAATTTTATTTAGTATTTCTGTATTGCTAAGTAAATAATGCATGAAATGACATTATAAAACTATTGTTCTAGGTTTTACTGCCTCAAAGTAATACAGAAAATTAAGTAAAATTAGGTATATCGCCGAATTATTCTGCTACAATCCAAATCTTCCTCTTGATCACTCCAAAAAAAAAAAAAAAAAAAAAAAAAAAAAAAAAAAAAAAAAAAAAAAAAAGCAACGCAAGATAATATCAGAAAATATAAAATCTAATATTATATAGCGACAAAACTAATGTACATTAGTATTACATTACATTAGTATTACGATTATAGATACATTAGTATTACGGCTATTGCTACATAATATTAGTTTGCATAAAATCTAATATTATATAATGCAGAGCAAGCAGCGACCTTTTGATGTTATCTAATATTTGGTGCTATTTTGGTTTTTTTCATAAACCTATTCATTTTAATTGATATACCGTAAACCGGGGCGAGTCTACCCATTTTTTCAGTTTGTCAACTTTCAAGTGGTCAAACTTTTGTAAATATTAAAGAAAAAAGGCTTTTAATAGGTGTTTCGGAATCGCTATTTATCCCTCTTTAAAGCTGTGGAATCTATTTTAGAAAATATTAACAGTAACGCTGTTACTGTATATTTTCATAGAACTGCTGACAAATCTCTCTTATGGGGCGAGTCTACCCATTCTACTAAAATGAATGTTAACATTGTAAATAATCAAATTTTACTATTAAATTGTTATTTTAGTTACTATATAGGATATTTATGAAGTAAAATTCATAACTTTATTATATATTCCATTTTTTTATTCATAAAATAACACAAATTGAGTATTTGATCGATTATCACATTTTGATCACAGTTTTGTTTTTATAATCATTAACATTATAAAATAACATTTTTTTCTGATTATTGTTGATAAAAATAAATTAAAATTAATATAAATTTACAATTAAATAATTAATAAATAATAATAATTAAAGATTATTAACAAAATCGAAATTCAAACATTGGGAATCATGAAAAATCCTTTTCCCATTCTTTTGGGAGGTAATAATAATTTATAAATAATAATTTATTTAACTTGCATTAAATAAAAAAAGTTAATTTTGTAATATAAAAATTGAAAAAATAGGTAAAATAAACATATTTTATATTTACATTTATATTTAACCTATAAATTTTCTTATTAATGATAAATTTATCAATGCAGAATTAAAATAATATACTCAAATTCATTTAAAATGACTTAATTTTAATATAAACAAAGTTCTAAATTATATTATTATGCTTTATTAAAACTAAATACGAATGGGTAGACTCGCCCCGCGAATTCTGGCTTTTTGTTTACAACAGCAAAACTTACATTCTTTTTGTTTTTTTTCATATAAAATTAATGTAATCTTAGTCTTAGATAAGTTTATCACTTAACCAAAGTGAAAATAGTAATAATAATAATATACTTACGGAGCACCAACTAAAAGTTTGCTGATTTTCAATACAAATCTCTCAAAAGACGTTTGAACAGGTCGGTTAAAAAGACACCAAATAAATAAAAACGGATCAAACTACTACAGCGCCATCTTCCTTAGAGTCTAAACTAAGTCCTCCGTCAGTAAAAAAATTTTATTTGCAATTTAAAATAGTGAAAATTAAATAAAACTAAAATGGGTGGACTCGCCCCGGTTTACGGTAGCATTAACAATGTGCTTATTAAATGTGATTAAAACTGTTTGAATTGAGAGCTAAAATGATATTTTATGCATACTTTAAAGTTCTTCTCATTGTACTCATTTTATCAATTGTCCACCTGTATCAACTGTACTTGGAAAACAAATTGACTTCTCATGTGATCCCGTTTATAGATAGCACCTATTCATTTTTAATCGATGTAGCATTGACAACGCGCTCATTAAATGTCAAAATGTGATCATTGAATGTGATTAAAACTGTTTCAATTGAGAGCAAAAATAATATTTTAGGCATACCTTAAAGTTCTTCGCATTGTACTCATTTTATCAACTGTCCACCAGTATACTTTGGAAACAAATTGACTCTTCATGTAATCCCGTCTATAGATAGCATCTTGAAGTCTTCTTATGCCTCTTGGAAGACAATTAGTGATACCATCTCCTTGCCAAATTTGACTACTTACTTGAACATTGTCTAATACTGAGTGGATGATATTTAAATCTTCATTATCAGAAAAATCAAAACCTGTATACAAAAGAATAAAATGAACCTGGTTATGAAACGCTTCTTTCGCCAAGGTTTATGTAAAAAGGTTAAACACACGCATTATCACCAAATCAAAATTTGTGTGAAACGAAAAAAATTGGGTAACTTTTCCTTTTTCTAACTTAATTTAGTAAATATCTGATAAAAATAAATGATATTAAATCAAAATAATAAAGCTCTTTTACACAATAAATATAATGCAGAATATCGATTCTAAAGCTTCAAGAAGTAAGTTTGAATATTTTTTGGGGGTTGATATTTTAAGTACAATAATTTTTTTTGAAACATTCTGATGGAAAGCAAGATGTGAATTGTATTTTCAATTCTTCACTGGAAAAGTATCAGAGGCAGGAATCTCCCCTCCAAAATAATAAATAAATAAATAAAAAAAAAAGAAAAAAGATTTGAATGAATTAGAGAACAAACAAAACCCTACTATCTAATACGAAAGTTGAATTATTTATTCAATTATCTAAACTTATCTATTTATTTCAAGAAAAAAAAAACAAAACATTTCAGCTATTTCAGCCCTATTTTGCCCTAAACGTCACGCTTGTTGTAAATAGCATAAATAATTAATTTTAATCTTTAAAAATGAGTATCAGTATTTAAAATTAAAGAGTCTTGTGCACTCCATGAAAGTAACTTAAATTTTTTATTTTTTACCGATCAAAATTACAATAAAACACATTTAATAAAGAAAATGCCTTAAAACAATCCCTCTCGTCCCATAATCAAACTACTATATATCATATCGTACTATAATTTTTCATATCGTACTATAATTATAATATGGGGGAATCATCCATAATCGTACTATAATTATTTCGAGTGCTAGAAAAATATTTCTGTCTACATACTTGTTTTTCAGTACCTCTTTATTTTAAATACTGTGAAGACCGTCAAATATCATATTAATCAGGTTTAATCTTAAATATCCTTGGCCAAAGATTTCCAATCTACTTCTTCTAGTAAGAAGATTGTCAATCGTGCTAAAACCATCCTTTACGGAAGGATGCAGTAATCTATAATGCAGGATAAGCATGATTCTTTGAATCGCAAGCTTAAGTTCTTTACATAGTTGCTGAATTATCTAGTTTTCAGAGGAAGATTTTTCTCGATAACATTGACCACATCTAATAAAATTACTAGATTATAAAATCAGTCGATTTTTAAAGTAAAATCTGCAAGAGTGGGGTCATTACAATATTAAAACAGGCTAAAGTCATTTTTTAATCGAATCAATATCGCCATTTTGTAAAATTAAATTTTCGTAACGCATATGTTTAAAAAAATTAAACTTTTTTTTCCTTCTTTCCCCCCCCCCCTGAAAAATCGAATTTTTTGCTTTCTCAAGTTTTGAAAGTATATTAATAACACATTTTATTCCGACTTCCAAGGAAAAAAAAAGAATAAAGTTGCAGGTGTGGATTTTAATACATAACACATTTTATTCCGACTTCTAAGGAAAAAAAAGAATAAAGTTGCAGATGTGGATTACACTTCTTAGAAGTATTGAATCGTCCAAATGTATGATTAAGGAAAAGTTGTGTAATCATCATTCTATGTAAATACAATTATTCACTCAATACAATCTTCAATAGACATCAGAAAAGCGCTTGATATTTTAAAATGTATTGTGAACAAAGAAAAAAAAAGAAAGAAAAAGCATATCATTTTGAATAAGTTTTGATCTAATGATCGGTATACGGTTTAGATCAAACGTTCGGTTACGATATTTTAAGTTACGAAATCAGAAACAAAAACGCATTTTCTCTGAATAATATTTTTTTGAGAGATTTTTATTTCTGACCCTCAAAATATAGGGAGGAGCAGCAATCAGGGAAATATGGTTCCAATAGTTTGATCAGGAGATAGGTCCAAAGTTTGTATCCCTTAATGTTAAAAGTTACTTTTTGCGTATTTTGCTATATCTCGAGAAATTTTTAATCGAACTGAAAAAGTTTTACACTCAAATATAAAGTTTTTTTCATCCAAAAATATTATTCCGTTCTAAAAATAATTTTTAGTAAATATTTATTATTTTTTTTATTTTATTTAATAATAGTTAAAAATGTTGAATTGTGTGGTACGCAATTTTTTACATCATTTTAAAGAATGTGATCCGTCAAAATCCGTCGAATAGTTCCTGAGAAATCGAATTTCAAAAAAGTCGTATTTTTGTAATTCGATTTCTCAGGATCTATTTAACCGATTTCATTCAAATTTTGTATTTTTCCGTGTAAAATTACATTTTTCAAAATGATATAAAAATCTGTATATTTTACAATTCTTAATATTTATGAATATTTATTAAATATAATAGTAAAAATTATTTATAAAAAATAATAAATACTAGCTGAAAATTATTTTTTGCATTGAATTATATCTTCAAATAAACGAATTTTATATTTGCTTGCAAAAGTTTTTCAATTTGATTAAAAATTCCTCGTGATATGGCAACTTTAGACTTCTCTCCTGACCAAACTACTAGGACCATAATTCTGAGATTGTGGTCACTTCTTATATTTTGGGGGTCAGAAATGTTCAACGATGGTAATAAAATAATAATACAAAAATAATTGATTCAAACTTATGTATAAAAGATAGAACGTTATGTTGCGCTGGAAGAAAAATTGATCTTCACGCCAGCTATTATTATTAAGACTATTCTTTGGATGTTCTTTTTTTGTTCTTTTAACACGTGACATACAATTCTTTTATCGCATAGATTGATAATCAATCGTCAAAACATTCTCAAATTTGGAGTGTTGATTTTTTTTCCTTGAAAGATCGGAAAAATTTCTGAAATCCTATGTTTTGAATCATAATATTCTTTTGCTTAGAAATATGAAACGATGGAATTTTATAGAATGTTACTTACAAGGCACCTTGTATTGCTTGCACGAGTTGTATGAATCTGTCAATATTTGACAAAGTTATGTCAAGAGAAGTATTGTTCTTTTTCAGGGGTTTCCAACTTACATGAAGCCGGGGGCCGCTATTGGAAACAGCAGTCGAATGGTGGGCCGCAACTTTATCACAATTTTATCTAGGACTCTTTTATGTTTGAAGGAACATTAAATATTACTGTCAGATTTTCGTCAAAGTTTTCTTAATATTAAAAAGCAAAATAACAAGCATTACAAATAATGCTTGTTACATATCATTTTGAATCTTCTCTTAATCAGAAACTTAGTGACAATATTTTTTTTTCTTTTAAATTTAATTCTGTGGTAAAGTAAATTTTTTTTTCTCTTTTCCGCTCATGCGATATTCAATTCAAGGAATTTAGATAAAACATGATATTCATTCCCTCTTTTATGCGTTTTAAAATTTTCAAATGTAAATAATTTCGTCCAAAATTAGTAGTTTCAAAAAGTTAAATTGGAGAATTTCTTCGAGAAAATTTCTTATACGCACATGCTAAATTATATTCACAAAATACAAAAAAAAAGAAAAAAAAACGAAATAAAAAAGAGAAACATACACGATTATTTTTGTATTTGAATATATATTTTATTGGATGCAAAACCTGAGAAATAAATTTTTTTGCACCGTTGGTATATTAAATTTCACAGAAACGAAGAAATTAGGTTTCTTTAATCGAATGAAAAGTAGTTTAAACCCATATGAATTTTTTTATGAAAATTGTCCGCAAAAGAACAACCATATATTTTAGTTCGCGGGCCACAGAAAATGCTTCGCTGGCCGGATGCAGCCCGCGGGCCGCCAGCTGGTAATCACTGGTATAGATCGATAATCAATCGCCAAAACATTCTCAAATCTGGTGTGTTGATTTTTTTTCCTTGATAGATAGGTAAAATTTCTGAAACCTTGTGTTTTGAATCATATTAATCTTTTGTTAAGAAAAGCTGCAACTATGGCTTTTTTTAGAACGTCCTTTACAAGGCAACTTATATTGATTACGCAAGGGGTATGAGTCTGACAGTATTTGACAAAGCTATGTCCGGCGAAGTATTGCCCGTTTGCCTACAAGGCGTTGCTACAGGTATCATATGAAGTTTTCAGAAGTTATTAAGTACCATGACCACAAAGCAAGCAGGTATACCTACTAACTTATGTATGAAAAAGATTGAATTAATATACAAGTAATTAATTTAGTAAATTAGTGAAAAATGTAACTTATAATATATGTAGAATTCCTAAAGATGGTGGACCTTTGTAAATTTGAGGATACAGTTTAGATTATAAAAATGGAAAATAAAATGTAAATGAATTACTAAGCGTTCTGCAATGACACCCTTTAATTCATATTTTTAGAATCCTTTCAAAAATAAAATAAAAAGGATTAGGAGTCGCAAATTAAAATTTAAGCTTAGAAAGAAGAAAACGAAATCTGGAAGAATGGTTAGTAAAGAAGGCATGATTGAAAATATCAAGATTGAAGGCGTTGAAGGATGATTATTAGAAATCAATTGCCATCCATTAATTGCCAGCTGAAATTTGAAGGTGTTTCTAATTCCTCCTTATCTCATCCGGCAATCAATCTGGTTTTGATGCTTTGTACACTTTCCTCAAAAACGATTTGTCTGGTTTCAAAAGCGTTTTCCTATTTTATTCGCTAAAATATCAATTTGTGGTTATTTTGACTTCATTTTTAAAAAGGATTTCATATATCCAATTTAAGATTGATATCCATAATTTACAAATAGCAGTTTAAGATTTTAGGATTGCTGTTCCCGTTGATATGTATATAATAAAAAAAAATTTAGTAGTTTTACCTATTTTTTGTTTGTAAAATGTGGCATTTTCTGCATACAGTACTTGCTGAAAGCTACGGATTAAATCAATATGATTTACTGAAGGCATGGACAGTAAAACGTAAGCCCGAGCTCCAGACTTTCCTAAAAAATAAAATGGATCTATTATTATTATTATTTTTTTTATAGCTGTAAAAAAATAGATGTTATAGATATTCAGAAAAAAATTATAATTAAGTTTATGTACGACTTTTTGCTTCAATGGTACTTCGATGACTGTCTGTGACTATTTTCAATTTGTTCTTAATTTCTATTCTTATAATAAGTAGTTTCTTTTAATTTGGTTAATTAATTTCTTTTACCGTAATTAGACTGTTTTGAAAAAATTATTCACAAAGAAACGTTTCAAAACTTTACTAAGGATTTTTCTTGTTTTTATAAAAAAGATATTTCTTTTTATATGATTAGTGTTAATACAATTGAATAAATCCAAAATACTGTTTTAATTAACATTAAATTTTTAGTCTTTACAAAGCCTATCTGGATTTCTGTTCATGAAATCAGGATTTTTACACAATGTGAAAACCTTGATGAGAAATTATATTTCTCAAAAGCACATTTTAAAATTTGGGATCGACGAGTTCATAATTTGTGCTGTTATAATTTATATAAAAATTACTCAGATAGTAAAAAAAAAAAAAGTCACCTTCGATTCTATCATTCATTGTCTCTTTTAATACACTGGTGTGCAAAACTTAAGCAACAAGTGCGTTTTTTGTCATAACTCTACAAGAATAATTTATATTTCGTTATTAA